ACCAAAAATACCTTTTACAAAGAACCCTTCTTATTTCTCTAATCCCCTGTTGTCTTCGTTCTGGGTTGAATGAATGAAAAACCCTTCTTAGTTCGATCAAAAACAGCACTGCTTCCGATGGAAATCTTGCCGGGATGATTCCACCGGGTAGAATTTCCGGTCAGTTTTTGTCAATGATCAGCCCATGGATGTTGCACATTTTCGGAGAGTGTCGGGCTACGTCAACCAGCACGATGCGCTCTTCCCGCTGCTAACAGTCGAAGAAACACTCATGTACAGCGCCCGTCTGAGGGGATGTGGTGGGCGTAGTGTGGCTGCAGCGAGAGTGAGAGAGCTGCTGAAAGAGCTGGGGTTGGATCATGTGACGGATTCGAGGATTGGCGGGGATTCAGCTCCTGGGATCTCAAGCGGTGAGAAGCGCAAGGTCTTTGGGTTACAGAGACTCTAGGTATACAAACCTCGTTGGCTCTTGAAGGCCAATTGTCGATTGAGGATAAAGCTGCTGAAAATCATCATGAAGAAGACGAGCAACAAGAAAAGCGGTTGACGATAACTTTGGCATCTGATTTTATCGAAGAAAAGCATCTTTTCTACCCAAAATCTCGATTTCGAGAGGTCTTATTCTAAGCCAAAAATTCTGCAGCAACATATTCAGAACCAAGCAACTATTTGCGGCCCAAATGAACCAAGCCTAGGTGACCGGAGTTGTGCTGGGAACCATTTTCATGAATGTTAACAATGACACCGCCTGGGTTAGGTTGCAGATGCGACTCGGGTTCTTCGCTTTCAGTCTCACTTTCTTGCTCTCTTCAACAACAGAAGGGCTACCGATTTTCTTATAGGAGAGAAGAATTTTGATGAGAGAGACTTCCAGAGGAGCTTACAGAGTCTCGTCCTATGTAACAGCCAACACCCTGGTATTCCTCCCCTTCCTTCTACTGTTTGCTCTTCTCTACAGCGTTCCCGTATATTGGCTAGTGGGTTTGAGAAGAGAAATCAATGGGTTTCTATACTTCTGTCTAGTGGTTTGGATGGTGGTGTTGATGTCGAATTCATTTGTGGCATGTTTTAGTGCTCTCCTCCCCTCAGAAAATGGCACTGCTTCTCGGATTCTCGGCGGTGCAATAATTTTTCGGTGACAAATTAATTTTCCCAATGGCAATTCGCCTGACACCATGGGCGTGAGGGAGCTGGTTCTCTGTAAATGTAAGAACAGTGGTTCCTACTTGCATTGCTTGATGGGTTATTTTAATAATTTTAATCCGTCGAAATAGCATTGGGGGTATTTAAGACTTTTTATCCTTTAACCGACGGAAATCTAATGTCGGGTGCCAAATTGTCCCAGATTAAAAGTTCAGGTACTAGATTGTAACACTTTAAAGTACGGATACTAAATTGGCACTCGGCCTAAAGTACAAGGTACCTATTGGGAATTTTCCCTTAAAACAAAGTCCTGATTCAAGACTTCTTTTCATAGGTTGTTCAAACAAGAAGTTGAGAGAGCCACTTAGGAATGTCCAACTTTTTCTCAATTTATTTGATTTTAGATTAGTTAAGTAATTTTTTTACTTAATTTTTGAGTTGTTTTGTTATTAATTTATGATTTTATAATATTTGTTAGAAAGTGTATTTTTTCCTCTTAGAAAGTGAGGGATACAAATAGGAAGGACTATATATATACGAGAGAGAGAGAGAGAGAGTTCTATCCTTAACCTTAGAGCTAAGGAATTTTTAGTGAATTTTTGTCTAAAACTTTGTTTTGGTCATTTATTCCTCTTTCCATTTGATTTTTTTGTTCTTCTTATGGGTTTTGTTTAATGTAAGGTTTTTAAAACCGAATCGGACAATGAATAGGTTAGGAGTTTGGTTCCCGGGTCGAACAGTCTGACCTTTCAAACCGAATGGATGGCCCATTTTGACAAAAAATTAAAAATAAAAAAAATAAAAAACGACAAAACCGTTAAGCGATCCAAACGGTTTGGATGATTCGAATACCCAGATCAACATTTACTGACTAAATGAACGGTTTTTGGTGAAATAACGGTTCTGGAATAAAACGGAATCAGTCACCTGACTGATTCCTAGTTTTTCCTGTCTGACCATCCAGTCCGGTCCCGTTTTGAAAACCATGGTTTAATGTGTTTTTCTCGTATGAGTTGTTTTTTCAGGGAGAGCTATGGCGTAGGTGGCATACTGGCATGTGTTTTATCATATGGGAACAACATGATAAGTTTGTCTTTTACTAAATGCTTGGTATGTGCAACTTTGTCCATTTGATGAACATTTCCTTTTAGGTTAATATTTGAATATGGGTTTCTTTCATTTGCTATTGATTAAAATTATGAATATTTCCTTAGGATTGAATTGGGGTTGCCTCTCAAGCCATGAACGGTCCCATTATTGGTGCTCAAGGTGGCATAACTGATGGATTGTTTACAGGTTTCGATTTTCTTTTATGGTGTTTGTTATAGATCAGGTAATAAATAGTTCCACAGATATATTCTTTTTCTAACTTTGGTATCCACTAAATCTTAGGCCCATTTTGGCCTTGCCTTGCCAATTTTTTAAAAGCATTTTTACATTATGAATGTAATTGTACCATTTTTTTGAGTTTGTTGGGAAGAGTTTGTCAATGGTTTAATCTATCTGACCCAACCAATTGTGTTGATTCTGGTTATGTGATTTTGTCCCGATTAATAAATGGATTGGGACCTGTTCTTTATGTTCTGTATTGATCAAGATCAGGACTGATTATGTAATTAATAATATATAAAGGTTTCCCGGTTTTCATGTAATTTTTGTTTTATTCTGTGTGTCAAGGGTGAGTTTGATAGACACCTCCACCTGGAGATAATTAGTTTTGGTTAAAAACTTGCTTTATAAAAATTGAAGTTTTGAGTTGTTATTAGCAGGCTAAGGTGACCCACACCTCCACCTGGAGAAAAGTTGTTAGTAGGTAATTATAGATGTCAAGTATCATCTACATCTAAGGGGCATAGAAAAGGGATGGTTCAAACTTCTACTAGTCCCAAGGATAGGAGTGTTGCTATGTTGTTTCATCTGTGTTAAAATAAGACAATAATACAAGTTAATTAATACAGAAATAATTAGGTGACAGTAGATAAATTAGCCCACTTGGGAAATCTCTACTAGGGGTGTAAATGGTTTGGATCATGATCCAATCCGATCCTATTTGAATCGCTCCCTATCCGATTTGATATATTTGATATATTTATAAATATAAATATATATAATACACATATATGTTGTTTATTTTTTATAAACATGTTATATTATTTATTTTTTTATAAAAATATGTGTATATATGATGAAAATAATTAAAAAACACTTCTATTTTTTGTTTTTACTTTATTTAAGTTCGTATATTTATTTATTTTTAATAATTTATTAATTTTTAAAGAAAACAAGTCAGATTGGATCAGATCCAAAGATCTGACTCACTGATAAGATTTGAATTCAAATCAAGTCCTATCAAATCCAATCAGATCTTTGGATCGGATCGATTCAACATAAACAGTGTCGGATTGGATTCAGACATACTCTGATTCGAATCCGATCCGATCCGTTTGCATCCCTAATCTCTAATTTCTTTTTTTGATTGCACACAATACTATATTCACAACCATGGTTAGAGGGAAGG